AGATTCTCTCATTTAATTTCAGAAGTGGGAGTCGGACGTAACACGGTATGGAAAGTTTTGCGTGAACAACAATTGTACCCTTACCACATTCAAAAAGTTCAGGCACTTAAAGCTACTGATTATGAGCCGCGAGTTATCTTTTCTGAATGGTTTCTTGGAAGATGTAATCAAGATGCAATGTTTCTTAATAAAGTGCTATTTACCGATGAAGCTGGTTTCACTAGAGATGGTATAATAAATTTTCGAAATATGCATGAATGGGCTGAAGATAACCCTCACGCGGTTGTTGAACGTCACCACCAGGATAAATTTTCAATAAACGTCTGGGCTGGAGTTATTGATAATTACCTTATTGGACCATTTGTTTTGCCGAATAGGTTAAATGGAGCAGCATACAGGCTTTTTTTGGAAAATAACTTACATGAGCTTCTTGATAATATTCCGATTCAAATCAGACATAACATGTGGTTTATGCATGATGGAGCTCCACCACATTACAGCCTTGAAGCTAGACAGCACCTTAACGAAAGATTTGAGGGTAGAGTAATTGGCAGAGGTTGTCCTGTTAACTGGCCAGCTCGTTCACCAGATCTAAATCCAATGGATTTTTTTGTTTGGGGTTATTTAAAATCATTGGTTTATTCCAGTCCTGTTGAAACAGTTGAAGAATTGGAAGAACGAGTTTTTCATCATTGCGAAGTTCTTAGGAATAATCCTGAAGTATTTTTTCGTGTAAGACAGTCTATGATGCGACGGTTGCGCTTGTGTGTGGAAACCAATGGTCGCCACATTGAGCATCTGCTTTAATTTTTTTTGATTTGTTTTTTTAGAATAAATATTTTTTTAAACCGTTTCTTATTATTAAATAAAAATAGTCCCACCACGACATTTGAACTACAATTATTTAGAGAGAGCTAAAAAAGTTATTTTTATTTACGAGATTCACCGAGGTAATTTAGGAAAATTGAAAATTAAGCTAAAGTGGACGAATATCTTTGGATGATGTTTTCTCGGAAACGGCTGCTCCAATCGAGATCAAACAAGTATTCCTTTTTGACGTAGTTTTCAATGTAGAATGTAAAAAAAAATATGGATAAGTCATTACCAAAAACACAAAAAAGTTATGAATAATCAAAATTTTCAAAAAATTCCCAAGTACACCCCTGACGAAATAATTTCTTTTTGAAGGTGTCAAAAGGTCACTATTATTGATCATATTTAACAGCCAAAATTTGGTTCTTTTATTTGTTTCCATTTTTAAGAAAATTCAAAAAATCAAAATAAAAAAAATGATTTCGAGAGGCTGTTGCTCGCTTAGGGGGCACTTTAGGACATAGGTCTATAGGAACTTTTTTTCCATTTTTTGGTTAAGGAATCTGCCTGAGAATTTTGGGACACATTTTAAAGGACACCCTGTATAAGTAGAAATATTGTAAGAAGTCACCAACACAACTAAAACATATACCTAATTCACATGGAAGATTGAAAATAAATAAATGTCGGTGACAAAAATATATGTAATGTAATTGCGGTGAATATACAGTTCACGCTTGTTGAAATTAATGCGAAGAAAATTTTGTCGTGCATGTTAACAGTTCTACTTAGAAAAATAACAATGCCCTTCCAAAATATTCTCTAATTAAAAAAATATAAGAAAAAAATATGATCGTGTAAAAAAATAATAATAATATTATGAGCTAAAACTATATGTTATGTTTGTTGTGTATCACTTTAGAAAATCAATAATGTTTCATTTTTCGGTATTTTCATTCGTATGTTCTAGTTATGGTCATCTTAAAAATTTAAAATTTGGAATCGTACTTCAATTACGTTAAGAAAATATGGCGTATTGTGCGAATTCGACCTAAAAGTTATTATGACTATGGAAATCTACGTATTTTACAAATACCTTTTTATTAAGTTGAATTAACTTCAATTTCACGACATATTAGTTAACTTTACCTATTTAAAGAAATAATAACTTATAGGTTTTATAAAAAAATTACCTATAGGTAAATATAACATATTTAGGTCACGTTGTTCTGCACTTGAGGTTTTAGACGTATCACTTTACGATAAAAATCGGAAGTATAACGATTAGGGTGCTTCATTTTCAGGCAATATATTTTTTCTCTGTGCTACCTGAAATTCTAATACTTTATAAAAAATAAAACATTATGCCGCCGGGTAAAAGGTTCTAAATGCAATAGCGACTTAGCTCATTCAAAAATTCGATTTCCTATTTAAATAACATAGGAAAAAATTTTTTTTTTGTTTCAATTTAATTTTTCGATATTAAAAAATTTTTTTTTAGGAAAACCCCGTGAATAGCTTTGTAGGGCATGAAATTTGCTACAAAAAGTTTCTCTAAATAAATCCTCTCCAACTAACAGTTTTTAAGTTATAGAGATAGAAATATGAATATTATTTATAGTTTACATCAAATCTTCTTTATGTTAAAATTTATTAACAATTATCAACAATCAATGCTAGTCAATACGATTGAAGAGCGAAAACTTCTGTTTACATCAATGGACGTATAGACGAAATCAAGAGTAGCGTCACTGTGGTTAGAAATAAAACTAAAAAATTTTAAAATTAGAATATAAACAATAATTTAAATTTTAGCATATTGATAATTTGATTATATAATGATTATTAATTGAAATTTATATTTATTAAATTAATTTAAAACTAGTTTTTGGAATTAAAAACCTGAATCATATTACGACTCGACTGTAGCGTCCTAATGTTTATAATAAGTTATTATTATATGTATAAATAATAAATTTTTGTTTAAAGAAGATTTAACTCAAAAACTGTTAGTCGGAGAGGATTGATTCAGAAAAACTTTTTGTAGCGAGTTTTATGCCCTACAAAAGCTATATAAAGGTTTCTCCTAAAAAATTTGTTTTAATATCGAAAAATCAAATTGAAACCAACAAAAAATTTTTCCCATGTTATTTAAATGGGAAATCGAATTTTTAAATGAGCTAAGTCGCTATTGCATTTAGAACCTTTTACCCGGCGGTTAAATTTTTTATTTTTTATAAAGTATCAGATTTTCAGGTAGCACAGAGATAAACAAAATATTGCCTGAAAATGAAGCACCCTAATAACGATATGATTTATTATTTCTCGAACTCATTTTATTAATTATTTTTCGCACTCATTTAAAGCTCTATTTACACCACACGTAAATTAAGATTACGACTGTAATGTTTTTTTTAAAATGGCCGAAATTCTTAAGAATAATGACGAAGACAGTAACTGAACAACCTAATTGTTAAAATAACCTAAATAATATAAATTTTACAAATAGATCATGTATGACTCTTTTTAAATTGGTGGTTTTTAGTCGAATTTACTTTGTGGTAGATTTTTCAGGTAATTGCTACAACAAAGTTAATAAATATTTCTTCAAGATGACTTATAGGTCAACTAAATGAGTATTCGACTATTTGGTTGAAATTAGGTAGATAAACAGGTAGAATTTTGCTACGATCTCGACCTAATATTACTTTAAAGGAGAGTAAATAAAAGCGGCCAAATAGGTTACTATGGAGGCATAAAATTACGTAGAATTTTTAACCAAATCTACCTAGTTAAATATTCTACTATAAAGACGATTTTTAGTTGCCAAACAGGTAGATATTACCTAAATATGGCACCTAATTTTACTACAAAGGAAATTTAACTTTAAAGTAATTGTTGGTTATTTTTTTAAGTAGTTTTTACCTTGCTGATATGGTTAAAGTTACTTTTAAGCAGATTTGTGTAAAAGGTAGATTTCTTGGTATAATTTACGTAAATTTAAATATAAATTAAAACCGTTTGGTAAATTTACATTAGAGGTATATTTTTCTAGTCAATTTTACGTAATAATTACCTCAATAAGTAAATTCGTCTTCAACAAAGTCGAGTTATAACTAATATTATAGAAAATGTTTGCTGGGAGAGATCACGTTACACTTGTAAGAATGTTTCTCACGTTGTTGATTTGGAATGGTTGGTTATAGAACATTTATCAGTAGGAAACATTGGGAGAACATTATTTTGCCTATTATAAATGTGGTTAGAAGACATAATGTTATTTTTGATTATAGCAGGAACAGTAATTTGAATAGGGTAACTGCTTAATGGAGTTAGTTTATCCTAGACAGCTGCATTATATTTTAAGGCATTAGATGGAGAAAGAGTAAGAGATTTTATTATCCACTAAAAGCGTAATTTTCACTGAGAAAACGGTATGAAAATGAAGATATAAAGTATCTTTTTTCCCACATAAAACTTGGAAAATTGAAGATATCTGTTAACACGTCTTCTTCTCAATTTAAAAACATTGTCAATTTAAAAATAGTAAATGATAAGCTGAGATTAAATTAAGCAATGAAGTTTTAATATTTTCAATACGCTAGTTCGGTGTGATGTCATTTTGGTTCCACTGACATTTAATTCTAACCAAACTTTTAACAAAAACATCAATAAATTTGACATATACGTTTTTACTGTTTTTAGTTTATTTCTAAATATTGTTTACAGGACATAAAAAAATAGTTTAAAGGTTTGTAATTGGTAATTAAACGATTGTATTTTTGATGTATCTTATCTACTTACTTTAGGAATATATTTATAAAAGTAAAAACGATATAATTCAGGTAAACAAAACGAACAAAACACACTCAAAAAATCTACTGTCACTTTAGTTGTCAGTGGAACCATAATTACATCATCACTGAACTGGCGTATTCAATTATCTATTAGTGATATTCATTTATAAAACTAAACAAATAATAGTTAGATATGATTTTGTTGCTGGTCTTATTAGTAACATTATCATTAGAATTTTAAAATCAATCATTTTATAAAATGTATTTTCTTTCGAAAACATTTCCAACACCGCCAGATAATGCTTCTGGGAAATGTAAACCGTAACACTTTAATCAGGCATTAAATTGCTATACGTTCATTAAAAATAAAATTAAAAGTAGCAGACTTACCGATTTTCTTACTTGTAGGCGGCAACGTCGCAGCGCTGACATCGCTCAACGAACTGTGAATGCTGCTCTCCAAATTGCTGCCGGCAATCGTTTTTGGTGAAGGACCGCTGTTTGGCCTGTTCCTGATCCTACGCCTAGAAAAACGAATTTCCTTTTATTTTTATCAATTTTGTTGCAGAAAAATCAGTTTTCGCCGCTATTTTCTTCCCTTTAAAAATTATAATCTCATACTTATTAAAAATCAAACTTACTGTATATTATAATATGTATCTTAATAACAGTATTTTATAATCAGATATTTTTAATAGTAAGAAATCATAATCTATCTTTAAATTACAGAAACATTATCATACCTGTCAAAGAGTGGACTATTTTGTAAGGAAGAAACTTTGGTAGGCGTTTTTGATAGTAATGATCTAAAAAAACATGCGCTATACTAAAAATACTGTTAATACTACCAAAACAAAATAAATAAATTTAATATCTACGCAAGATTCGATCAATTAAAGAATTTACAGCGTTAGACGCTTTTGTTGAATCGATGAACATGGAGCAAATTTTTAAAAACTATTCTTACCCTTGACTTAATCTAGGTCTGAATCCTGTACCTTTTTGGGCATCTTGATAGATAGTGTAGATACTAGCTATTGACGAGCTAAAATTGTACAAAGCATAAATAATATAAACTACTGTTAAAGTGCAAATTAAAGTACCCATAGTGTAATTGAAACTAATGTCTGTGTTAAAAGAAAATATGGTCCTAAAGTTTTCGGAAAATTCTAAAATATTCTGTAAATATACTAAATGGTGTTCAATCAAATAAAATAAATGTCAAAATTAACTTAATTTTGTTATTATTTATCGTGAGCAAAATATTTTACCATCAATAATTTTTAATACTAGAAAGGAATGTGTTTATTAACCTTAAAAATTTCGAATCACGTGTATGAACAAAGACTGATTGAAGCTGCTGAAAACAAAGTTTTTCTACGAAAATTAGTTGGAAGATTCGGTGTTTCAAACACGACAGTTTTAAAAACAATTTCCAGAAAATGTTCCGAAAAAGAAGGAAGACACTAAAATACTTTCACTTTATCCCAATGGGAAATAAAGGGAAAGGATGGAAAAATTTACAGGATTTTCAAGACATACTTTGGACCATTGCAACCATACCAAATCAAATCATTTCCAAAAATATATTTATGGATTTTATTCAATAGTTAATAAAGAACCCCTGGATCCCAGGGGAAGCGCAAGCTGACCTTGACGAGGAGGATGTGCTCAGCCGACTTGAGGGGCAAAACTCAAACTTACATGTGGCGAAATGGTGCACCTTCCACCATGAAATAAAAAAAGACCCCAGGGGCCACCTCTTCGTCTTCGGCATCTCTCAAAAGATCCACACCGAAGAATTGGTGCGCTAATCAAAGAAGATAGCATCAAACTTCTGCTGTCAACACACTTCCCTGACTCGGTCATCACAGACGTGGCCGACTGGGCAGATGAAGAATACAATCCATCTGTCTATGATTGGCAAACACCCAAAACACATTGTAGACGATGAAATAATTAGATGGGCAATATCCAGCTTCTCTCCATTTAAATCGCCAGGACCTGACGGTATCTATCCAGCCCTACTTCAGTGGGGTCTGGAAGAACTTACACCGCACCTGGTGGGTATATTCAGATCCTCGTTGGTTCTGAGGTATATCACCAATAAGTGGTATTTATACCCAAACCTGGAAGGATGGATTACACTGTCCCAAAAACATACCGACCAATTAGTCTGACATCGTTTTCCATAAAGACATTGGAAAGGCTTTGCGAAAGGTACATAAGGGATGCGATGATTACAATAACACCACTACACCCAAACCAACATGTATACACCCTAGGTAGATCTACTGATTCAGCCCTTCATCTAGTTTGCTGGCCGGATGGAAAGATCCCTGGACAATAAGGAGTCCGCCTTGGGTGTTTTCATAGATATAAAAGGTGCTTTTGATAAAACCACCTTCCCAAAGATAATACACTCACTAACCAACAGGAATGTTCCACAAATGGTTAGTAGGTAGATACATAACATGTGAGCAGTAAATATAAGTGTAGAAGATGTGAATATAAGAGGCTTAGTTGCGAGGGGATGTCCACAGGGAGGGGTACTATCACCTCTACTGTGGAATATGGTCCTCGACACCCTCATCAGCCGCCTCAATAATGACAGTCACTACACAATCGAATATGCAGATGACCTGGTATTTTTGCAAAGAAGGAAATTTGGGAACATACTCTGCGAAAGAATGCAAGTACCTCTAAAAATTATAGAACAGTGGTGCAAGGACCATTCACTGTCTATCAATCCTAACGAGACATAAATGGTCCTTTCCACAAGGAAAAGGATGAAAATGGAATTAAAACCTCCAGAACTCCTAAACACAAAACTAAACTTTGCGACAGAGGTGAAGTACCTAGGTCTCACCTTTGACAGCAAGTTAACATGGAACTCGCATTTAGAAAACAGAGTTAAAAGAGCATACATTGCTTATAAATAATGCGGCCGAACCGTGGGACGCACCTGGGGTTTCTCCGTTCTATCCATACAATTTGTATAAACGGAACGATATTTTCAGAAGTGGTGTAGCTCAATGCTACACTTTCGATGCAAAGGAAAATACCTAATATGTAACTAAAATACCCCTTTGTGCCATCTGTCAAATTGTCAATTGTCATCTTTCATAAATAAAAGGTAGAATATGGTTGACGAAATGATGTTCATGTAATGTTCATAATAAAAGGTTGAGAAAAAAGGAATTCGAAGTTTTTATTGGCAATCAATAAATTATATTATTATTGTCCAAAAACTTTAGTATCATAGTTAGCAAGTGATCATCAAACGAAACGTGTAATTTTTAAAAGAAGAACAGACATACTATTTATATTTATTTTAATTACTCCCTATATACAACATGCTCTGAATTTATTTATTCTATCTCTCTAAGATACCAATGAATCATTTTGGTTTATAGTTTACAAAAACCCGTCATAGAATAATTAAATTCATATCACCCTGTATTATTTTTAGATCATTTTTTTACCTTTTCACAAGTTTGGACTTTTCTGGAACCAATTCGTGGTGTTTTTTCTTTGGTCCCGATAAAGTTAACCTAAAATCATGCATTTATAGGTTAGGATCCTTGTTTCGATTTTTTATAACTATTTTCCTACCTGTGAAATACGTTGGATGTTGTCGAACTAGTTTTTAATATCTTCCGATTTACAGGAGACGAACTAGAGCTAAAAAACATGCAAATATATACAATTCTATCTATCTAAAAAATAAAAGAATATAGGCGAAAGTAATCAATATCATTTCAATTTGTTTAAAAAGAAAAACACAATTAGAAACGATTTAATAGTAACATCATCGAAATTAGACCGACAAGATCACCGGATTCAACCCTGTTTGATTGAATTAAAAAATACGTGGAATTAATTACCTTTGCCGAAAATTCTAATTAAAAAATAGTCTACTTATACAGTGTTAATTCTGCAAAAGCTTACTTCTTAGTATTTCCAGATAACTCCGCGTGTGGCGCGACAGTCGAAGAAGCAGAAGCAATACTGAAAAGCAAATAAATATACAAAAGCTCAATTTCTGTTTAGCCAACGATAAATAGCTGGAAAGGAAACGTAGAACAACGTAGGAGGTGGTGGTTATATTGATTTGTTAAAAAAAAATAATAATAATATTTTTAGTAGCAACCAAGATGATACATTTTTCTTCGCTTGTCTTCCTTAATTATTATTACATGTAGTATTTCTACACATATCGGAACACTTTTTAAAAAAATTAATCACGTACTATCCTTATCGCTAGCAGCCCTATTTGCAGTGTCGGATTGGGACCTCCAAGGCCTACCGGTCAGCAGGTTTCATGGTCCGATTTTCATTAAAGAAAAAAAGGTCTTCTCAGGTATTACGGGGTTTCTTGCATTTAATTCTTTGTTTGTTCTTCTTAAGGCCTGTACGAGGGAACACTGCTTGAACGCCTACTTCTTGAACGAGGGCCTATCGGTCTTTTGACCCATAGACACACGCGACGGCCCAATCCGACACTGCCTATTTCTATAACTCATCATTTCATTTTGTACCCAAACGGTATAGGATGTACAATATTTGTTGGATATTAAAAAACGTTTAATTAGCTGCACAAACATTCAAATATTTCAATTTAAATTCACAGATATTAGATGATCTCACTACAAAAAGGATTGGCTCTTGCAAAGATAATAGATGTTACAGCCTTTTTTTTACCCTTTCACGAATATGCTTCGCCAACCCCCCCCCCTCTCCCGAGAGATTTCGACAGACTCCCACCAATCAGACTTGGATCCAGCCACTAGCTCCCCTCAATCAGGCTTTGGGTCCGGTCTGCTTTCTTCTTCTTGGGGTCCGCATGGCGCCACTGAAGCGCAGATGGCCTATTGTACCATCATTTGGATGCCCTATTCCTGCCCATTCATTATATGTTCCACGTCCTCGATGGTTAACCGCTAGTCGGTCACCCATCCAAGTTATGTCTACCGGAGACATCACTTAGGAAACAATAAACAAAGAATAAATTACATTGTCACGAATATGAGAATACAATTTCAATCGACTAAAATCAAAAACAGTTTAAGATGTTTACTTTATCAAAAAGTAACTGGTAGAAGAAGTTTTTAATACTGTAAAATATACACATACATGTGTAACATACACTATGTCCAAAAAGAAAAATAAGAATTTGACTCAAAAGTATATAATCCTTAATTTTAAAAATAGGAAAACAATGTTACTTGAATAATTACGAGAAATCATAAATACCCAATACATGAAAAAGAATTACAAATCATAAAACATAAAAAATTATAAAAAAATTAAACATAAAGTCAAACATAAAAAATTCAGAAATAAACCATAAAAATAAAAAAAAAACAATAAAAAATATAAAATTTTTAAAAAATCATAAAAATCATAAAAAACTATATTAAAAGATTTAAAAAAAAAATATAAAATATATTAAGTTATAAATAATTATAAAAAATTATAAATAATCATAAAAAATCGCAAAAATATTAAAAAATAAAAAAACCATAAAAAATTCTAAAAAATCATAAAAAACATACAAAATCAAGCAAAATAAGAAAAACTTCTTTAAAAACCATAAACAATCAGCATAAAAAAAGCATAAATCATAAAAAAAATCATAAAAAATCATAAAAAATCATAAAAAATCATAAAAAATCATAAAAAATCATAAAAAATCATAAAAAATCATAAAAAATCATAAAAAATCATAAAAAATCATAAAAAATCATAAAAAATCATAAAAAATCATAAAAAATCATAAAAAAATCATAAAAAATCATAAAAAAATCATAAAAAATCATAAAAAAATCATAAAAAATCATAAAAAAATCATAAAAAATCATTAAAAAATCATTAAAAATCATAAAAAAAAAACATAAAAACCTTAAAAAATCATAAAAAACATACAAAATCAAGCAAAATAAAAACTTCTTTAAAAACCATAAACAATCAGCATAAAAAAGCATAAATCATAAAAAAAAATCATAAAAAATTAAAAAAAAATCATAAAAAATCATTAAAAATTATAAAAAAAATCATAAAACATTAAAAACCATTAAAAACCATAAACAATCAGCATAAAAAAAGCATAAATCATAAAAGAATCATAAAAAATCATAAAAAAATCATAAAAAAACAAAATCATAAAAATAAAAAAAATAATAAAATTAAGAAAATTTTAATTTCGTTTTTTCTTGGTGCATACATTTTGCGACACACTGTATATTCAAATACAAATTATTGTAATTTACTTTCAACACATAACTAATAAAAAATTATTAACAAAAGTTAAATACTTGTTATTTTCGGTATATTTCTCCTTTAAATACAAGGAACTTATCAAATATTTTCAATTTAATATAAGTAGTAATAGCAGCACTATACACTAGGCTAGATTTTTTATAGATGAGGAAAAAATTAAACTGGCAACACCGTAATGCCATTGACTAAGCGTATGGCAAAGTTTGAAACTTTATTCAAGTAGTATTTAAGTAGTATTCAAGTAGTATTTAAGTAGTGTTCAAGTAGTATTTAAGTAGTATTTAAGTAGTATTTAAGTAGTATTTAAGTAGTATTTAAGTAGTATTTAAGTAGTATTTAAGTAGTATTTAAGTAGTATTTAAGTAGTATTTAAGTAGTATTTAAGTAGTATTTAAGTAGTATTTAAGTAGTATTTAAGTAGTATTTAAGTAGTATTTAAGTAGTATTTAAGTAGTATTTAAGTAGTATTTAAGTAGTATTTAAGTAGTATTTAAGTAGTATTTAAGTAGTATTTAAGTAGTATTTAAGTAGTATTTAAGTAGTATTTAAGTAGTATTTAAGTAGTATTTAAGTAGTATTTAAGTAGTATTTAAGTAGTATTTAAGTAGTATTTAAGTAGTATTTAAGTAGTATTTAAGTAGTATTTAAGTAGTATTTAAGTAGTATTTAAGTAGTATTTAAGTAGTATTTAAGTAGTATTTAAGTAGTATTTAAGTAGTATTTAAGTAGTATTTAAGTAGTATTTAAGTAGTATTTAAGTAGTATTTAAGTAGTATTTAAGTAGTATTTAAGTAGTATTTAAGTAGTATTTAAGTAGTATTTAAGTAGTATTTAAGTAGTATTTAAGTAGTATTTAAGTAGTATTTAAGTAGTATTTAAGTAGTATTTAAGTAGTATTTAAGTAGTATTTAAGTAGTATTTAAGTAGTATTTAAGTAGTATTTAAGTAGTATTTAAGTAGTATTTAAGTAGTATTTAAGTAGTATTTAAGTAGTATTTAAGTAGTATTTAAGTAGTATTTAAGTAGTATTTAAGTAGTATTTAAGTAGTATTTAAGTAGTATTTAAGTAGTATTTAAGTAGTATTTAAGTAGTATTTAAGTAGTATTTAAGTAGTATTTAAGTAGTATTTAAGTAGTATTTAAGTAGTATTTAAGTAGTATTTAAGTAGTATTTAAGTAGTATTTAAGTAGTATTTAAGTAGTATTTAAGTAGTATTTAAGTAGTATTTAAGTAGTATTTAAGTAGTATTTAAGTAGTATTTAAGTAGTATTTAAGTAGTATTTAAGTAGTATTTAAGTAGTATTTAAGTAGTATTTAAGTAGTATTTAAGTAGTATTTAAGTAGTATTTAAGTAGTATTTAAGTAGTATTTAAGTAGTATTTAAGTAGTATTTAAGTAGTATTTAAGTAGTATTTAAGTAGTATTTAAGTAGTATTTAAGTAGTATTTAAGTAGTATTTAAGTAGTATTTAAGTAGTATTTAAGTAGTATTTAAGTAGTATTTAAGTAGTATTTAAGTAGTATTTAAGTAGTATTTAAGTAGTATTTAAGTAGTATTTAAGTAGTATTTAAGTAGTATTTAAGTAGTATTTAAGTAGTATTTAAGTAGTATTTAAGTAGTATTTAAGTAGTATTTAAGTAGTATTTAAGTAGTATTTAAGTAGTATTCAAGTAGTATTTAAGTAGTAATGAAGTAGTATTCATATAGCATTCAGATATTGTCATAAAAACTTTAAATACACCTTGTAATGTATTGAGTAATTGTTTTTCATATAGCAGTCATCTTGGATTTTATATAAATGGGGAAAAATAGGCTAGTTCTGGGGGATTTTAAGAAATTTTAAGCTTAGTTAATGACATAACGGTGTTCCTGTTTTAATTTTTTCCCCAGATCTGGGGAAAAGTCTGGCCTAGTGGAGTATAAAACTGTTATCACTGCTATACCGTTCTAAGACACATACAGTTTTTATCTACATTTGTACTGAGATCTCTATTCTGTCATTGTGAACCCCAATATTTTGGTTACGAGCTACCACTAACATGTAATAATTATTTTCAGAAGAAAAGCTGGAAAAAATTCCGATTGATCTTCTTTACCAGGTAAGTCAATCAATTTTTAAATCAACAACCACAAAATAGTTTGTAACGGTTTCGTTAAGCCAGTTATTAACTATGATCAAATTTTACAATAACTTAATAATTTGTCTACGACCCATTCCAGCTACAACAATACACAACTACTTTATATTTACAACTACATCGATTATCAAACTATTACTTACAGTTTACTATTCGGGTTCTTCTGGTTCCCAGTATTCCTAGTTACCACCTTCCTTTGAGGCACACCCGTATTCACGTTCACGCTGCTAAACACTTTAGATTTAACTTCTTTCAAATTTGTTTTGTTCTGTTCATTTTTACTGATTTTACTCATCACAGCGTCCCATCTCCCGACAGATTTTTTCACCAATTTTTTCTCGGCATTTTGATCACCGACAGGTTCCATCATAGCTTTGACTTTCGATGGCACCTCCCTTTTGGGCATCTTGTATTTTTTAGCCGAACCAGTACTGTCATCTTTAGATGTATGTCTGGGTGAGGAAAAACTTGAAGGGCTGGATATACCCGGACTAGGAGCGTTTCTTTTTTTGGGATTATCTTTTTGGACTATACCGTCGTCTATCTTCTTTTCTATAGTTTTTTCGATTATTTGGTTGATGTTGTTTTGACTGTTTTCCGATATAGTTTTAGAGCTGGTGTCTGATGGTGAGATGTCTGGTACTAAATTGTTAAAATCGTCATCGTTCCTAGTGTTGCTTTCTATATCGGTGAAAATCCCGCTGGAGTCCATGTTTTCTCTGTTATTTACATAGATGTCAGCAGCAGCTTGCGGATCAACTCCGTATAAGGTACCGTCGATTACCTGAGCTCTTCTATCGCCTCTTAACGGGTTATCTTCATGGTTATCTGCGTCGCTTTCGGTGTAGAAGTCTGAATCGGTCATTGGATCGATTCTTCTCGATTGCGCTCTAGCTGTAGGTCTTCTAGTTAGCGGTGAGTTATCAGCACCTCTACTAGCAGGCCTAGACATTTCTCCATCACCTTGATACCCAGTATCCAAGCTAGTAATGCTGGTGATACTGTTGATGAAGCTGTTCGAATTTTTAGATTTTGATGGTTCTGTTTTAGGATCGCTTTCGACTTGAGGCGTTGGATCTAACGGTAATTCTTCTGGTGACGGTGTTTGCTCCATGCGGGTCAGTACGGTTTTTTCTAGATCTAAAGGCAGTTCCATGTTTACAGTCGTGTCGGTTTTCATAGTAAGATTCGATAGTATGTTTTCGTCGATGATACCCAGACTGTAATCGGTTAGATTGGGGCTTTGTAGCTCGTCTTTGATCGCTTTGCTCTTGTTCATAGTTAGGTTTAGTAAGCTTTCGTCTATCAAACCTAAGCTGTCATCTTTTGGACTGTCGATTTCTAGTTTTTTTACTGTTAGATAATCGGTGATGCTTTTGTCGTACTCGAAGCTAGGTGATCGGGTTTGTGAGTTTAGGAATTGGGTGCACATTTCGTCTGGGGTGAGTATGCCGAGCGATTCATCGAATTCCAATGAGTCTCGTTTGCTGCTGTCATCTTCGTTGGTGATTGATTCTTGTTTGATGTTTAGTATTCTTACGTTAAAGTTTTCTTCTGGTTTGATTAGGGATAAACGGGAATTTCTTAGGGAGCTGTTGGCGTCGTTTTTACTAGGAGTCGATGCGTTTAATCCTAATTTGTTGCTCAGAAAATTCAGTTGTGGTAGTGTTATTGGTTTTTCGATGCTGTCGCTCAGACTTCTCAAAACTTGCGTTTGTATTTTAGGGTTAGAAGTTCGCCGCCTTTTTACTTCTATCGTAGAATATTTCGGCAGATTTTCGCAAGATTTATTGACAGGGAAGAGTTCTAAATTGAGTTTTTTTGGCTCTTGATTGTTATCTGATTTAATATCTAATTCGCTAGATCTTTTTTTGGTATCTTGGGGTTGTTTAATGTTTCTAACGTTATCAGCGATGATTTGTGTGAAATTATTGAAAGTATCTTTTAGATTTTGATGTAGTTTTTTGGTGATATCGTTTCTTTGAGTTACTAACTGTTTTTGATGCAATTCTTTGTGCGGGTCGATGAAAAGCATCGAGTACGGACCTGAGGCATTCTCGGTTTCGCGGCTACCGTTGATGAGCGATACTTTGACGAGTGGCGCCATCAATCCGCGACGATCGGGACACGCGAAGTATCGTATACCGTTGACGAAGCCATCGTTCTTACCGACATTATCGTTTAATTCGATTCCGCACCAGATGCCTTTCGAAAAGTGCACTTCTCCGACGAACCTGAGGATGCCTTCTTTATCGCCGACGCGTACGCGGTTGCCTACGTGTTTGGCGTTGATTTGACCGGGCGGGGGGTCAGTGACGGCGGGTTTAGGCTCTGGGTGGGGTATGCGAGAGCTGAATGTTGGTATGCGGCTGCTGCTGCTGCTGTTCTGAAAATAAAGAAAAATAGAATTAGTTATCGGTGTTGGAAGTATATATTTTTTAAAATGATATTTGGGATGTTTTTTTGTTCAAACTATTAATTTATATATGACAAAATAATAAAAACGCAAAATCAGTATTACTGGTTTTTATTGTCTCATTAAAGATGAGAGGTTGGATTACCTCCTTCATTTAATTTATATACATTGTGTCTTAAAAATACTACACATGATTTTTACTTTCTAGTTTGTACACAGATAAGGAAAGTAGAGCAATCATGATTTTTTTGGACTTCGAGTTTTCGACGCATTTTTATTTTTAAGCTTTAATCAATCCTGCAGTGATTTTGGGCATAGTCGGAACATTGGGGGGGAATTTAAAGGGTTCGTTTTTCTACTTAGTCGAATATATCTGTTATTTACGTTTGAGGAAGAAAATACTTCAAATAAAAGTTTTCGAGATATTTGAGAAAAAGTGCAAATGTCGAATTTTGGATACTCAAAAACGGAATATCTCTGTTATTTACGATGTAAGAAGCAAACTTTCTAAATAAAAGTTGTTTGCGATATCCATTTCTACATTTTTGTTCCATATATGATTTCTCTAAAATGGAACGTAATGAAAAAATTTGAGGAAAAGTGTAAAATTTCCATTTTCCCGTATTTTCGTTGGCAATGAATATACAGGGTGTACCAATAAAACTCCCAGGCCGGATATTTTGGTAAGTAATAGAGATATTTTAATTCTGTAAAAGCCAGTTCATAGAGCGCTAAGAGATCTTTAATTTTAGATATAAATTGATTTTAAATAGGTCAATATGTAGATGGCGCTGCGCTCAATAATTATTTTTCGATGGGAGAATCTTTCTTATGTAGCGCATCTTGTAAAAAATGCATTTTTAAGTAAATTTTGTTCTATGAACTAATTCGATAAATCTAGCCATTTTTGATATACAGAGTAGGTCATTCAAAACAGTTTCATCCTGTTTTTCGGCATTAATTATTGTATTTTTGGAAAATGCTAAAACAGGTCGATTTTTATTCTAAATTAAACACATTTTTGCAATACAGACATCTGTCCTGTGTCAACCCCCTCCCTTCCACTTCTCCAACCCCTTAATTTTAAATAAGGAATGTACCATGTACGGCACATCATTAAAAAGGTAATTTTATGGGGAAGTCAGAAATATGACAGTTTATTGCGAACCTTTTAATTTTAGCGCCCTCTATCGGGATAAAAAAATCTAACGTATTTTAAAGAGTGACACTTCATTTGAAAGGTAATTTAAATACTAATTCAATGCGCCACATAACATTAATAAAAATATTTCTATATTGCACTTGCAACAAAATAAAAATAGCAATAATGTTTAAAATAATTGACTAATTTTTAAACTACTACAAGAGCAATGTGGATATTTATATTAATATTAAGTTATTAATTAATGTTATGTGGTACATTGAATTAGTAATTAATACGATAGAGGGCGGTACAATTAAAAGTATCACAATGAACAGTCATATTTCTAAATTTCCCATAAAATTACCTTTTTAATGATGTACTACACATTGTAGTATCACACTCTATAATACGTAGTAGTTTTTTATCCCGCTAGGAGGCGATAAAATTTAAGTAACGTAATTTACAGAAATATTTCTGAATCCCCCATTAAATTAACTTTTTAATGATGAGCCATACATGGTACATTACCTATTTAAAATTAATGTGTGGAGAAGTACAAGGGAGGGGGTTGACATATGACATTTCTCTATATTGTATAAATGTCTTTAATTTGGAATAAAAATCGACCTGTTTTAGCATTTTCCAAAAATACAATGATTAATGCCGAAAAACAGGATAAAACTGTTTTGAATGACCCACTCTGTATATCAAAAACGGCTAGATTTATTGAATTAGTTCATAGAACAAAATCTGTTTAAAAATGCATTTTTTACAAGATGCGCTACACAAGAAAGATCCTCCCATCGAAAAATAAATATTGAGCGCAGCGCCATCTACATATTGACCTATTTAAAATTTATTTATATCCTAAACTGAAGCTCTCTTAGTACTGTGTGAACTGGCTTTTACAGAATTAAAATATTTCTATTACTTACCAAAATATCCGGCCTGGGAGTTTTTATTGGTACACCCTGTATATAAAAAAAGTTTCTAATAAAATATGTGTGTAAAATGTATGTATTTAGTTCATTTTCTAAACATTTACAGGGGTAATACAACAGGTTGTACAAAATAACCGGAAAAAGCCTGTAATAAGAAAACCATGTGTTGGACACTGTTGACACCTATGGAGACAGCAAACCAACTGGCACTGGATCAACAAAACCTGGGAAAAAACTGGTCGAAACACTAACCAACGCCAAAAAAGACTCAATTTCAAGAAAATCAGCAGAAAATATAGCTAAGCGGCTTAAGGAAGTGGAGACCGTGTGGAATGAAATAAAAGTTAATGATGAAATCCAAAAGTTGAAGATTCCAAAGCACGTTAACTTTGAAAATGCGTACTTCAAACAATTACAAAAGAAATATGAAGAAACCAAAGACTACCTGGTACAATGCCAAAAATTTAAAGAAGAAAGTAAATCAGAGACAGTAACAAAGTTATATCTTGAGGAAACTGATCAAAAAACGAGATTAAAAAAACAAAAATGGAAATGTGACCAATTAAACATACTCATTCAAAGAAATATACAAGGAAATGGATGAAAATAAGATCAACTCAAAATATCAGTGGCTCATAAACATAGCAGAAAAGACATGGGGAGAATATTTGGGAATTACACGAGGAGATTATGGCTGTTGAAACAATTTTCCAAGACAGATATTTTATAGAAGGTATATTCACTAAAATGGAGGAAGATGTAGAGGAACTAATGAAGAAACTTAATGAAAAAATTGCAAATAATGGGAATACAAATCAATATGATAAAAGTAGACCGAACATCCAGTTACCAAAAATAAAACTACCGATGTTTGATGGGAGCTATGATCAATGCTTTACATTTCATGACATTTTTCAAAAAGTAATTTGTGAAAGCAGTTGCCTCACAACCAGTGAAAAATTTTTTTATTTTTATTTTTTTTTGTTTTAAATATAATATATTTCCGTTAAAGTTAGTGCATAACCTAAAAATCAATATGCACTAAATAATTATTGAAATTTTTGCACCATATTTAACTAAAGAGTAAAGTACCCTAATTTTTAAAAGTGTTACCTGAAAAACTTGTTAAAAATGGATATTTATCAGCAAATATGAAATCACAGCCACTCAAGTCAACAATATTTACCTACTTTTACGTAATAATAACGACTTGCAAGATCAAATAGGGTGTTTTTCAACCCCAAGAAGAAAATAGTTGCAATCAAATATCTCGGTTCTTAGACATACAAATATATGTATTTTCTAGCATAAGGTAGATACAAATACCACTTTCAATATCTGTTAAAAAGAACTACTTGTCAAATATGTCGTGAGTCAACCCCAAAGGAAATTTCCTTTGGGGTTGATAAACACCCTATTTGACCTTGCAAATCGTTCTCTTTAACAGATATTGAAAGTGGCATTTTTAATTAGTTCAACAAGAAAGAGAACAATCAAAAATATCGCAATGACAACTAATTTTATTGTAATTGTTACATATTTGATATATGGGTGATTTTAACATCAAGTTGATTTTTGCCCTAGGGCATTCGAATAGCTTGTTGGTTCTAGAATTTAGACGGGGTATATTAAATTTAATTTGTGACAAAATATCGCTACAATCAATAAAATTGTGTACGACTTTAAATAGAAAGATAAACGAGGATATGTTCCTTCTTAGGCTCAGGCTATTAATATCAAATTTGTTACACAACTCCGTATAATCACAATCACATTCGGGATACACTCCATCAGTTTTGAAAACTGTGAATTTTAAAAAATTTCTTCGAGCCCTTTCTATATCTAGAACGTAGCAGTTGTAATAAGGGTTCCAGATCAGACTACAATATTCCAACTTAGAACGCACATGGGTGTTAAATAATAATTTAAGGGGTGTTACATTTGAAAATTGCTTGCAGTTTCTAATAATAAATCTATATATTCTAAAAGCTTCGGAAACTTTAACTTGAATATGATTTGAGAAGGTTAATTTGGCATCAAAAATTACACCCAAGTCCCTAATAGTAGAACATCTCTCCAACTCATTATCTCCAACCGAATATGAGAATTGAATATTTTCTTTTTTCCTAGAATAAGTAACTACCTCACATTTTTGAGCATTTAGATGTAACATATTTGTCTTACACCAGTTATTAATACAGTTAAAATTTCTCTGGAGTAAATAGTAAAGGTCCAAGATTTGAACCCTGTGGTACTCCAGATGTAACCCTAATTGATTCTGATTTAAATCCATTGTAAGTAACGAATTATGTCCTATGTGTTAAATATGATTTACATAGAGCTAAAGTGCTATTAGAAAAACCAGTCTCTGAAAGTTTTGATATTAAGAAGCTATGCTTAACTCTATCAAATGCCTTAGAGAAATCGGTATACATTCACCTGTCCTTGGTCATCTAATAGATCTGCAATAAATTGTGTAATCACAGTTAAATTTGTTACCGTTGATCGTTTGTCTATAAATCCATGCTGATATGGTGAAATGTAACTTCGGACAAATGGATATATACGATTATACAGAACGATCTCGAAGACCTTCGAAAAGTTGCACAACAGTGACACCGGCCTATAGTTTCCTACCTCAGACTTTATCCTACTTTTAAATATTGGGCATATTCTAGCTTCTTTCCATAGTTTAGAATATTTCCCCGTCTTTACTGATAAATTAAAAATTTTTAAAAGAGATTGTGTTAAAATTCTGTAACAATCCTTAATTAAGAAGGAAGATATCCTCGTTTTCATTGGAGGAAATAACCAAATCAGGCGTATGATTTAAGCGATTTGTTACATGGTTATATTGAACTAAGTTATGTAATTCGA